GTGATGTAAATTCTCCAGCATTATCAAGCCTCACTTTCTTGATTGAGTATTCCGAGAACTGAGCCCTTAATTTAATTATTTGGGCTAAAAATCGGGCAAATGCCAGATTACGTGATGATAAAAGACATACATGCGACCATCTGCTTGAAGCATCAATTAATACCATAAAATATCGAAATGGTCCGCATGGTGGATGAATAGGTCCACAAATATCACCATGAATCCTTTCTAGAAATGATGGTAATTCATGCCCGATTTTAGCTTGTGATGGTCTGATTATTAATTTTCCTCTAGAACATGCATCACAAGAAAACTCATCTGATTGAAAAATCTTCTGGTTTTTCAATGGGTGACCATGAGAGTTTTCGATAATCTTTCTCATCATAATGGCACCAGGATGACCCAATCGATCATGCCAAACTTTGAACATATCGGTAAACTTCTGGTTTACTGTGGCATATGATTCAATCACATTGATATTAGTATAATATAATCCCGAAGATAGAGTGGGTAATTTTTCTAACACATATTTTTGTCCCATATTGATTGAGGTGATACACAAATATTCAATATCACCTTTATTTGTGGTTTCAATATGATATCCATTCAGTCGGATATCTTTAAAACTTAATAGATTTCTTTGGGACTTGGAGGAAAATAGTGCATCTTTTATAGCAAATTTTGTTCCTCCTGGCATTATGAAATCGGCTCTTCCGGAGCCTTCAATTATTTTTGCATTTCCAGATATAGTAATGACATTTCCTTTGTTTATTTTCAGACTAGAAAAATATTTCTTGTCTGTCAGTATTGTATGTGTTGTAGCACTATCTGCTAAACATATATCTCTTCCTCGATTTGCAGATTTAGCCATACTCATTATCTATTGAAGAACAAAATAACATAGTAAACATTAGAAAATATATTATAACATTATGACTAACAGAAATGATGACACAGATACATAACTATTTTACAAAATGTAGACGCATTATTTATGCATATATGGATTATTACGAGGTTGATTACATATATAAACGATACAACTATATATATGGCTTTTTATTCATAATCAACGCCATCTTCAGGATGCGCAAAACCATCAGCGAGGTCCATGTGTGTAAAATCTTTAGCACCACCAGCATCATCATCCGAATTGTTTATGACATGATTTGTCTCGACACCTTTCCCTTTCGCTTCTTTAATCGATTTTTGGTAAAGGTCCACCAAGTGTTTAGCCGTGCGACAAGTACGTGACCAATGTCCTGTCATTCCACACCGGTGACATGTGCTTTCTTTCATCCGTTTGTTTGGATGATCATGTGTTCCCCCTCTATTATTGTTATGGTTTTGGAATGAGATTCCTCGACCACCTCCTCTATTCCAACTTCGGCTAACACCACGACCTCGTCCTCGGCCTCGACCTCGACCTCGGCCTCTACCTCGAAAATAACCACGTCCTCGGTTATTATAAAATATAACATTCTCTCCAGGGAATGATATATTTTCTGTAACATTTACTTCAGGAAATGGTACAGAACCTGTCGGCCGAGATGCATGATTTTTCATTAGTAATTCATTATTTTGCTCGGCCAAGAGAAGACATGAGAGAAACTCTGAGTATTTTGTATACCCCTTTTCTCGATACTGTTGTTGGAGGATAATGTTTGAGGCGTGCATAGTTGAAAAGGTTTTTTCCAACATCTCATTTTCGTGACATTTCCTTTGTTTATTTTCAGACTAGAAAAATATTTCTTGTCTGTCAGTATTGTATGTGTTGTAGCACTATCTGCTAAACATATATCTCTTCCTCGATTTGCAGATTTAGCCATACTCATTATCTATTGAAGAACAAAATAACATAGTAAACATTAGAAAATATATTATAACATTATGACTAACAGAAATGATGACACAGATACATAACTATTTTACAAAATGTAGACGCATTATTTATGCATATATGGATTATTACGAGGTTGATTACATATATAAACGATACAACTATATATATGGTTTTTTATTCATAATCAACGCCATCTTCAGGATGCGCAAAACCATCAGCGAGGTCCATGTGTGTAAAATCTTTAGCACCACCAGCATCATCATCCGAATTGTTTATGACATGATTTGTCTCGACACCTTTCCCTTTCGCTTCTTTAATCGATAGTTGGTAAAGGTCCACCAAGTGTTTAGCCGTGCGACAAGTACGTGACCAATGTCCTGTCATTCCACACCGGTGACATGTGCTTTCTTTCATCCGTTTGTTTGGATGATCATGTGTTCCCCCTCTATTATTGTTATGGTTTTGGAATGAGATTCCTCGACCACCTCCTCTATTCCAACTTCGGCTAACGCCACGACCTCGTCCTCGGCCTCGACCTCGACCTCGGCCTCTACCTTGAAAATAACCACGTCCTCGGTTATTATAAAATATAACATTCTCTCCAGGGAATGATATATTTTCTGTAACATTTACTTCAGGAAATGGTACAGAACCTGTCGGCCGAGATGCATGATTTTTCATCAGTAATTCATTATTTTGCTCGGCCAAGAGAAGACATGAGAGAAACTCTGAGTATTTTGTATACCCCTTTTCTCGATACTGTTGTTGGAGGATAATGTTTGAGGCGTGCATAGTTGAAAAGGTTTTTTCCAACATCTCATTTTCGCTAACTGTTTCACCACATAATTTCAAAACTGATGTGATTCGGTACATCGCCGAGTTATATTCACTGACAGTTTTGAAATCTTGAAATCTGAGATGAATCCACTCATATTTTGCCTTGGGGAGGATTACCGTTTTTTGATGATCGAAACGGTCTTTTAATTTTTCCCAAAGATCTGCAGGATCTTTGATTGTCAGATATTCCTTTTTCAAATCATCATGAATATGATGTCTCAATAATATTAGTGCCTTTGCTTTATTTTCAATTGATGCACTTTTCTCTTTAATTGTGGCACCAAGACTTTTTGATTCCAAGTGCAAATCAGCATCCAATTGCCACGATAGATAATTTTTCCCCGATATGTCGAGGACCTCGAACTCGATATTAGCCATTTTTGCCATTATGATTTTGTCGTAGAAGAGCGTTCGTGCTGATAACGTGTTATGAAAAACGAAGAAATATAGAAGACCCGAGAATCATATCGTTAACTAGAAACCGAATTATATTACGGTAAATATCCTTGAATCATTGCAGATGATTCTAAATTCCCTGGTCAGTTATCATTGTGGGAACAATGATGAATTAAGACCAGCATGATGTGTGATAGATGATTATGATCATATGCATTAGATGCAAATCACAATCATGGGTTCTCGTTTGGAACGAGTTACTGGATGACCCGCATGAGATTGTCAC